ACAAACACCATTTTTCACTTTTAGAGGTCCAATGATAGTTCGTAAGCGGTTCACGAGTTACTTATGATGCACCGTATTTAACACAAATATATCATTTTAACGAACTTCTACACTTAATTCTTCATATTAAACTAGTTCATTTCTGCACAATTTAAATAGTTTATCACTTTTCGTATCACTTTAGGTATTTAGTTAATTTTAAAACTACTTTAATTACGAGCACATTGTTAACCGTGGCACAGTCAATATGTACAATATCAAATACATGTACAATAAAACAAATCAGTAGCTAGCTAGTTTACGAAAACGAACGTATCACTGTCTTGCTTCGTAGCCCTCCCTCTTACAGTGAGCGTTTACACAAGCCAGTAACTTGCTTCCATGTATTCTCGCTTTAATATATTTGTAACCAAATTGATGTGCTAATATTGAAGTCTTAAAAGTGACGTTTAGTGTACACCATAAAATGTTGAGTCAACATTGAGGTTGTAAATTCCGGGTGTTTGGAGGTCGTTACCCGACTGATAACCTAGATAGTGGGTAACTTATTAGATTCATTATCAAGCTTATGTTATACCCATAGGTTTAATACAGTGTACTTAGCTTTTTAGTTTATGGTAGCAAGGTTCGATAATTTACTATAACGTTATTCGTGTAAATAAAAGTGATCGATTTTTGTAGATAGATGCCATCAAAGTTAGAAGGTTTTAGAAGAAAGGAATTGTTTTTCACTGATCTTATTTACAATAGGAAAAGGACAACAGACTTATTTCTATTTCTGTCTCACTCTGTTGTTGCAGCAGCGAGACATGGCGTCGGTGTGGAAGCGGTTGCAGCGCGTCAACAAACGCGCCGCCAAGTTCCAATACACCGCATCTTATCACCGCATTGACGTCGAGACCACGCCCAAATGGTGAGTGTACCTACAGAAGCGTTCCAGACTGGGGTCCATCAGGACCATAATTCCTTGACAAATTTATATTGTGAGATATACTATCGCACAACTGTTGTGCGATCGTCAATTGTTTCGCAGCCAATTCAACTGTTTAGTTGCACAACTAAAAATCGAATCTAGGAGTGTGCTCCATATAAACTCATAGGAATCAAAGCGAAACTAAAGTACCAAAGTTCTCAAGTTTAAAATATAGTTCAATAAAATGTTTTCTATTAATTTGAGAGGTTAATGGAATATGTATTATTATTATAATTATAGACAAGGTTAACTATAGTTGAAACTGCTTTCCGTGTGTTAATAATTGCGTGCAGTTTGGCGGACAGACAGATAATTGGAAATGCTTTAATTATATACGATGTAATTGATATCGACGTTGCATTACATTTAGTTTGTAGTTATTTTTGAGTTTCTGTAGCTCATGTTTGATGTATTTTTGTTATCAGGAAACCCAACAAGTTGAGTATAGTATGGACGCGACGATCGCGGCGTGTGGTCACGGAGCCCGTTGAATGGGAGCCATCGCTTAAGGACCCTCTCAAGTGAGTACTCTAAACGCTGTATGTAGCGCACGTCCTGATACTTGAAGTAAAAGTGAAGCTGTTATACATGAAGTAACATGCCTAATGGCTAGTAACGTTAATTCTATGTCTAACCTAAGGCTAGAATGATATATAGAACAATTTGTAATTCTGAATTATTCCCAACCGTCATCCCGCTCTGTCCCACGTGGAAACAGTTGAGAATAAAATGTTTCATCCGTCCCACCTTTTGCGGCGAGAGGACGGTTGGAATTTATTTTATTCCATAACTGTTCCATCTGTCATCTTATTGGTGATAGTAGGACTAAAAGGTGGGACGTATGAAACTTTTTCTCAACTGTCTCCACTTGGGGACAGAGCGGGGTGATGGTTTGGAATAATCCGTAATTCTTAAACTTACTCTTAGTTTACTAGTATCTTATGAGTTGTTAATTTTTAACCCACTGTTTGCAGGG